TTCTTTGCCCAAGCCAGCATTGGACAACATACACCGTACCTTCTCCAGCAAGGTCCGGTTCATACGTTCTGCCACTCCATTCTGTTGTGGTGTATGTCTAACAGTGAAGTGTCGGATGATGCCATCATTTTCACAGACCTTATTGAAATGATCATTTTTGTATTCACCTCCATTGTCTGTGCGAATACACTTGATTCTCCTGCCTGTCTGATTCTCCACCATCGTCTTCCATTTGAGAAAAATTCCCAACACTTCATCTTTGCTCTTCATTGTATACACCCATACTCTTCGGGAAAAATCATCAACAAAGGTTACAAAATAGTGCTTCCCACCCAATGAAGGTGTTTTGGAAGGACCCCAAACATCAGAGTGTACATAATCCAAAATGCCTTTAGTATTATGGATCGCTGTACCAAATTTAACCCTTGTCTGTTTCCCTTTAACACAATGCTCACAAAACTCCAAGTTGCAAGCCTTTACTCCTTTTAACAATCCTTGATCTGATAGAGTTTTCAAGGATTTTCCTCCAGCATGTCCCAAGCGCATGTGCCATAGCTTGGTTGCTTCTGCCTCTTTGTCGTCACTGGATGTTACTGTCGCTGTCCCAATAACTGTACTGCCACGATAGCGGTACATATTATTATTCTTCCGATTAGCCTTCATTACCACTAGTGCACCGGAGCATACTCTCATCACTCCATTTTCTGCAATGATTTTGAACCCTTTTGATTCTAGGGCTCCCACAGAGATGAGATTCTTCTTCAAATCCGGTACATATCGAACATCTATCAATGTTCTGATCATTCCATCATGGTTCCTTAATCGTATTGAACCAATGCCATATGAGGTAAGAGGGCTGTTATCCGCTGTGTGGATGACTCCATATTCTCCTTCTTGAAATTCCACGAACCAGTCCCTGTTGGGACACATATGATAGCTACAAGCCGAGTCCATCAACCATATGTCTGATGATGTTGATGACTCTGTTGTAACTAATGAGAAGTCTGAATCATCACAATCAGCTACATTTGAATCCATAATGGCCTTTCCATTGTTATGTTTGGCCTTATTCTTCAACTTCGGACAGTCTTTCTTCCAGTGCCCTTTTTCTCGACAAAAGGCACATTCATCTTTGCTGGGTCTGGATCTTGACTTGGATCTTCCCTTCTTTGTCCTCGTTTGATTTTGAGGACGACCCCTCACAAATAGTGCTTCTCCTTCTCCGCCCTTCTGTTTTTCTCGCTTTCTTTGTTCATAGCTGTACAAAGCCGAACAAACTTCTCTGAGAGAAATTTCGTCATTTCCATGGAGTAGAGTAGTTTCAAGGTGCTCGTACTCATCAGGAAGTGACGCCAACAACATTAAGGCCAAGTCACCATCATCATAAGTTGTATCCATATTTTGCAAATCTGTGACCAACTTATTGAAACTGGTGATATGTTCATTCATCGTGGTACCAGGAACATAGGTGAAGTGAAACAGTCTCTTCTTCATGTACAATTTATTTTGACTGTTTTTCTTCAAAAATTTATCCTCCAGTGCTTTCCATAATTTACTTGCAGAAGTTTCCTTTGTGTATGGATATTTCTGCTCTCTAGCAAGGTAGGATCGAATGGTACCGCAAGCAACACGGTTGATAATTCTCCAATCTTCTTCTCCAATAACATCTGGTTTCTTTTCTTCAATGGCCAGATCTAGCCCTTGTTGAAAAAGGACATCTAGAACCTCGCCTTGCCACATCCCAAAATGTCCGGACCCGTCAAATATTTCGACCGCAAATTTCGCATTTGACACAATTCTTGTCATAAGCGAAGATGCCAATGATGACGTATTGTTGACACTTGATGTAGATTCTTCTTGTTTATTGTCTCCCATCTTTGACACAAATATTATTTAATAGCTGACGACACAAATCAAGATTATTTCCTTTCTGGTGTGGAAGATCAGACTAAGCTGCAACCACAGAGCATACTCAGACAGAACCTTGACTCAGTTACCAAGATAAATCTTTTCTGATGTGGAAGATCAGACTATGCTGCAACCACAGAGCATACTTAGACAGTATCTTGGCTCTGATACCAATTGTTGCGGAAGCCAAATGTATATAGTGTGAATAAGTCACAACTACTATACCAAAAATTATGACAGCCACCAAATAATAAATAAGACAATAAAGCAACAATAAAGGGAACACCATAATTTACGAGGTTCGGCTAATTTTGCCTACTCCTCGGACACAACCAATATTTTATTCCACTCCAAAAATACAAGTGAAATAATACTAAAGAGAGAAGATATAAATGTCTTAAACAGATGAGAAGGCAAATGAGAGGTGTGTTTAAATCCTAAACATTAGGCCTTCTTTTATAGGGGAAAATCCCCCCAAACTCAAGAGCCCACCGATGTGGGACAAAGAATTTGCCAAACTTCAACATTCGCCCGATATCTTATTGGTTTGGCTAGCGGATTAGTACATTTACGAGCCGATAACCGATAAGTCGAACCGTTAAATGTAACAATGCGCCTGATCCGCCCGATAAGCAGTCGTACCAAAATCTAATGAACCCATAGATTATACATTGGATACCAGGCAATATTCTCATGAAAGAAAAAGAAGAAGAAGAAAAAAAAGCTGCTGGACGACGACTTGTAAATGCTTTCTCTTACGTGACCTTTCTTTTAACGAGATTAATTAGTTGACAGATAAATCACTTCCAAAAATGTCGTTTGTTCTTCTGCTTCCCTTGTTCATATAAAGCCTTAACACTTGGAGGGGAAAGATGAATGTTTTGTATTAGAAAAGCATTGATCATTGTGCTAGTGTTTAGTTTGGTAAAAAAAAAAAAAAAAACATGTAACAAATGATAATCGTACAAGGAGTAGTATATGGTATAAGGATCGTGCTTCAATAATATTTTGAATACTAAAGATCGAGAAGAATGTATAGATGTTGATTGAGCTAAGTGAAATGAGTTTTTTTTATTTTAAAAATGAAAATAGAGGGAAAATTTCCACACCCATCAATGATGATCCCTTTAGGTGAAACGATTAAAAAAGATTTCATCAACAAGAACATTTTATAAAATATTTACTCTTATCAAACACAAATAAGTCCCTCCATCTTATTTTGTAGGCATATTTCCTTACTAGTTTGTTCCTAAAAAATTAATATATTATCTTAATGATAAATTTTATAGTTAATCACACAAATATTGTTGTGTCATGTTTAAGCCAAAAAGTTTTAGTCTTATATCCACAAATAATACTATGACATGTTTATAATTGCAAGTTTCAAAAATATTTTTTGTTTTTAAATTTCGTGTGAAGTCTAACAATGCAAAGCAAATTGAAATAGAGGGAATATATTATTTCTCATTTACTATATTTTTTTTTTTTGCCTCCCTCTTCTTATCAATCGAGAGCTTCCCACATGCCAGGCACCAAAAATCTATAAGATCTTCCACATTGTCATAAAGAAAATCATTAATTTTATTTGGTGATATTTCATTTCCCAAAAAACATATATAAAGAGAAGAATCCAAAGTAAAAAAAGTAGTTAAGCAATATTTACCTGTGTTTATCCTTAAAATAAGTAACACAATCAAATTTGTACTCGATTTAAAGAAAAAATAATTTAATTTAACACGAATAATTTAAGAACAACAAATAATTAAATTAAAAGAAAACAAGGCGACCAAACCAAATGTGATAAAACAATTAAGCTTTGCTTTAAGTTTAGATGCTGAAACCAGTCTCGATCGAGTCATCGAAGTGGGTTCACTTGATACTAAATAAATAAATAGCTGAAGAACACTTTAAACAATAACTAGAAGGCACAGATAAACTTTTATTGCTTTGATATATGTGTTCACAGTGCCTTTAAAAGCAAAAGGTTCTCTCATTTATATAGCAAGATAGTTTCAATTCTAGTACAAGTCTAAATAAGGTAAAAATTCTTTTTTCCTAGTAAAACATAATTTGTCGTTGATATCTGGCGTGATCCGCGCCGTAATATTCGATTGATGGCAGATATTTCGGCCCCTGGTTCGTCCTTTCCAACCCCCTTCCTTTTAACCTCAATTTTTTATTTTGCTTGAGCTCGATTTTTCCCGTGTTCGGTCATGCCCGATTCTTGGGGTATCCTTCATCCCTCCGGGTTCTGATCTGTAGGAACCCTTGGCTTCTGCCCGAGCAAGTACCGAATCATGTTGTCTCGTTTTTTCATCGGGAAATTGGGGATAACTTTATTCCCAATTTTACCATACACAACTTTCTTCAACTAAAATTGAGCAAAAAAAAAAAAAAAAGAAGAGAGAGACAGACGTAGCTACTACTCTATGGGTACTATCTTCACGTTTCTGAGAATGTATTGGACCTTTATTTCTTAAAATAGAAATACAGTACATTCTTTTCTTGCATTTGACAGATCATGTTATTACTAGATACAAAAGTACACATATGCTAGGCGTGTCCTTTATATAGATTAAATATATTTCCGTTAAGAAAGGATCTCAAATGACTGAAATTTTCAGAAATGAACGTGACTGCGGTTCTCGAGATATATCATTTCTTTAATTGAAGATCAGTACATTATTTAATTTATCATCAAACATTATTAGAATACTACTTCCTCTACGTGAACCTGTTTGACTGGGCACGAAGTTTAAAAAAAAATGAAGATTTTTAGAATATGTGGTCCTAAACAAGTCCAAATGGGCCCCAAAGTATTTGTGTGGTTATAAAAGCTTCTCATTAAGGGTAGAGTTCATTCTTTTTGGAACGGACCAAAAAGAAAATAGGTTCACGTAACCTAGAACACAGGGAAGTAATAAAAATAAAAGGCATAACGTACACGTGGTTAAAATTGCACCTTCGCGGAAATTCCAAAAGGAAAATGAAGGTACTGCAGAGTCTAGAGCTACAATTTGAAGGGCAAGCGTATAAATAGACGCACGCAATAAGCCCTAGTAAGAACAAGTTCAGAAACTATTCATCAAAAACCTAATTAGGGCAAAAAAGAAAAAATGAATCCCCTTGATAATGCAACCTTCTTTTTCTCTGACCTTGATTTTCTTGACTCTATTGAGCACCATCTTCTGAATGATTCCGATTTTTCCAACAGTTTTTCGCCGATTAGCTCGAGCAGTGTCGCAACTCCTAATAGTCCTAGCTCATGTTTTTGCAGCTGCCTTTTGGATGAAAACATTGAAGAAACAACAACTCTCGAATCTCAATCCGAGCCCGAGGAGCCAACGCAAGGCTTAAAGGCGGCGCGTGCGGAAAACACGAAGCAAAATTGGAGGCGGTACATAGGAGTGAGACGGCGGGCTTGGGGAAAGTTTGCGGCGGAGATAAGGGACCCGGAGAGAAGAGGCGCGAGATTGTGGCTAGGAACTTATGAGACTCCTGAAGATGCAGCATTGGCGTATGATCAAGCCGCTTTCAAAATCCGCGGTTCGAGAGCTCGGCTCAATTTTCCTCACTTAATTGGCTCAAACATGCCTGAGCCGGCTAGAGTAAAAGGGAGACGTCATAATTCACGCTCACTGGAGCCATCGTCTTCTTCATCCACCACATCATCGGAAAATGGAAGAAGGAAAAGAAATATAGAGGTCATAAATTCTATAGCCAAAGCCAAATTGGTTGGTCATATACGCGATCTAGAGATGTCACTATAACTAATGGAAAAGAAGAGTTTTCAGTTCTTTTTTCAAATGTCGTAACATTACTGCATAAATAACTTACTGTTCAATCATGTTATTTTCGCTAGTATATATGTTCATTATTTATGTTTTGTACGTAGTAATTAATGGGGTGTTTCAACTTTGTTTGAGCTTCATAGCTGGCCAAGGTACTTTGCGGAGAAAGCAGATGCAAAGCAGACAAAGGAGATGACAAAAGTAAAGTTAGGCTCAGAAAAGCGTAAATAAGGAAGAGGAAAGCCGAAAAAGAAAGCGGGATAAAATCCCGGAGACACCCAAGTCAAGCAGCAAAAAATCTGAATTTGGACCTTCCACGAGTAAATGGACGGAAAGTGCAAAAACCAATACCTCAGTTCCAGTTCCACAGAAAACTGAAAAAGGATCTGGCAAAGCCCAAAGTGATGGTCTCAAGGGAAAGAACAGGTCCCACGGATGAAGACACTCAGGTGACCACTTTAGCTGAAAAATCTGCACCAAGCATACGCCGAGTGAAAATTATGCGTGAGCTTGGTTTGATGGCTCCTTCTGGCCGGTATCCATTTCATAATTAAGGGGAACATGTTTCTTCATTTATTCCCAAGGGACATGTTTCTGCTCCTTCCAGGTCTTCATCTCATCCTAAGGAACGTCTTCCTCCAATTCAGAGAATAGTTGTTTGTGGTCTATCTGCTGCTAGATCCGTTATGAAGTAGCTTTTGTTTCTCCGTTGGTAAGTCAGAGTCAGACATGATATAGACTGCTGAAACTCCCAAGGTAGTGCTGAAGTTGTCATATTAGAGGGGGATTTAGACTGCTGAAACTCCCACTACTTTTTCTGACGCAGAGTTTAAAGTTAGTATTAAGAATGTATCTTTACAACATTTTTACTACATGTATAACTCGAACAAAAGACAGCGGGTGAATAAACCTGCTGTCTTTGCCAGGTTGTTGCGAAGTTGTAATACCAATTGTAGAAATACACTTCTTTTCGCGTTCCCCTTCATAGTGGATGCAGCTAAGATGCCTATTGAGTAGAGCACGAGATCTGCCACTACAACACGTCTACAGAGAGGCTAACCATGCGGCTGATTCGATGGCGAAGAATGGAAGCAGCTTACCAACTCTTGGAAGCTTAAGAACTTATCTAATTCCTCCTACTTTTGTTATTTCCCATTTGTAATAAACTATGTAATGACTCTTAGTATGTGTTTTTAATAAATGTCTTTATTACCAAAAAAAAAAAAAAGGATGCAGCTAAAGAAACCTGAGAGTAATTGAGGGGTAAATTTCACAAATGGTCATATAACTATGACTTTTTTTCATCATTGTCAAATAACTTCGTTTTCTCACACAAAAATCATAGTGGCAGAAAAATAATTTTTTTGGTACGATTTTGTTATTTTACTTTTTTTATTTTTTATTTTCAATCTAATAAATAATTATCCAATTAAAATAGGAAAAATACTAATATATTTTTAGTTGTTCCCAAAAATAATAGCCGATAAAAAATATTATATATATATNTCTATATATATTTTGGCTAGCAAATACAATTAGTTTCGGGCGGTCGATAAATTTTATATTTTTCTCTTTAAATATGAATGACCCAATCCAGCTTGACCCAATACCCATATACGTAAGTTAAAATAATACTAAAAGTGAATTCTTCCCTCATAAGAAACTCAGTTCGGAATGCATAAGATTCTGATAAAAAAAAAGAAAATAAAAGGTATAATTAGAGAGCACTTGAAATAAAATTGTTATCGATTTGAATAAAATCTTGAAAATAAAAATAAAAGATAGAAGTATCATGTTTTGAAGAATTTAATATTCATTCCTATTTTAATTGAGTTATTATTTATTATACTGAAAATAAGAAAATAAATAACAACAAAACAAGAAAATACTACCAAAAAATTTATTTTTCGGCCACTATGATTTTTGTGTGAACTAGTGAAAGTTTTATGATTGTGTGAGAAAACGAAATTATATGACATTGATGAAAAAAAGTCATAGTTATACGATTTTTGTGTGAGAAAATAAAGTTATATGATTTTGATAAAAAAAAAAAGTTCTAGTTATATGACCATTTGTGAAATTACCCAGTAAATGAGGGTTACCCTCTTAAAAGAAAAGAAAAAAATGGAGTAGTAATTAATGTTAGATGTTTGTTCTATTTTCTTATGAGTTTTTTTTTCTTTTAGAAGCAAATTATAAATCACCATATTTGGTTCGTCATTTTTCTTGAAGGAAAAGGTTTTAGACTTCTATAAGTTGAGGATCATTCCTTCTCATCCAGTAGCATCCACAATATAATCATAAGGAGTTGGAGAGTCTTGTTTGGGGGAGAACTTTTTAGGACAAGTGTTAGCGTGCCACTTGTGTTTGCCTCTTTGTGTTGTTGTTCTCTCGATATTTTGTACTATCTTTTATATAGTGGATTGCTCATCTCCGCTCGTAGACATAGGTCAATTGATCGAATCACATAAAATATTTGTGTTTCATTTGATGTTTTGTTTTTGTGTGTGATTTATTGTCGTTCAAGGTTTGCTTTACTAGCTTCCGCATGACATCTGATTATTTTGATCCTAGCAATTAATGCTCATTAAATTTGCATAATTTTTTCAAGGACGAAAAAATGTCTTTTAGAAACTTGTTTAAAAAAATTATATTTGGATATCCGCGGTTTAAAAAACGTCTTTTTAATTAGAAAACATATGCTGTTTAATTAGGTATATGTTCTCTAAGAAGTTGAAAATATTAACTCTAATTCTTTACTTTATAAAACTATCAATAATTTCAACTCATTAAAATTTACAAGTAAATCACCATTCTTTAACCATGTCAATAAAATACTACTTCTATAAGGTATATATTCAATGTTTAATGATTTAGAAACTGATATTCGGCAATCAATTCCGGTTTGTAATGATCCACCTTAGTTTCTCATTTCAATAACATCCGGTCTTCTTTAGGAAAGGGCAAAAAAAAAAAAAAAAAAAAAAAAAATAGTAGCAGAATCTAGCAATTAAAAAGCGTCAAATCTATGAATTGAATTCTCGTAAAAGAAGTGAATTTTGCTAACTATGTTATCGATCAAACTATTTTACCAAAACTCAAATGGAAAAAATAATAAAATAAAAAAATTACTTGCTTGAGTTCATGCCGGCTAGAANTCCTCTTCACTTCTGCAATTTGGACACAAAAACAAAAAAAATCATAATCATATGTAATCTTCTCTAATATTGCACATGCGTATTTGATAAATTTAAATTATCAAAGACTTTTTAATTCCCTACACTGTATCGTCGCTGTACTTGAATGAATATACTAATCATCAAGGTTCTTTTTGTACTCATTTTTTTATTTATTAGATGTGTACTTTCTCTAACAATCATAGAGCCATGGTGGTACTAATTATTGTTAAAGAAGTGGCTGAACAAATTTCAGAATATTCACAAAAAGTGTCAAATTTAGAGCTCCCCCATATAAAATTAAAGTCGATGCAGCTCGTCTTTAATTAACAGATATATTTAAGTGAATTATCAACCCAGCTGATGCTACACTTTGATATTATGATGCTCCACCAACTGGAAACGAAAATGAGAAATCAAATAGGTCTTGAAATATAATCATGAATTTGCTGATATTCTAAAGGTCGTCCCAATAAACAAATTATAATTAAAGAGAAGAATCCATAGTAAAAATGTATTTAAGCATTAAGGGGTTGTTTGGTTGAATGAAGTAGATAAAATAATGTATGTATTAGATAAAATAGTGTATGCATTAGCTTTGTATACTAATAATATCTTGTTTCGTACATTTTTTAAACATATACATTAGTCACGCAAGCATTTGTTATACACCTTATTTGGTATTATCCTATGCATAACTAATGCATAGGAAATCATAGTATTAACAATGCAATGATTTTAATGCATGCATTAGCTTAGTTAAAGACAAAATTGTCCTTCAAAATTTATGCTTGATTAAAATATGCTATTATATTAATGAAAGTTTGAAATAATCCAAGAAAGGGAAAAATAAAATTATATCCCTAGTAAATAAATAAATACTTAGCATATTTCCTCTTTATAAATAAATATTCAATTCTATACTAAAATATAGGTAGACAAATCAAATAGTTTTTGTAAAACCTTTTTCATATAAAAACACTCCTCAATATATGTTTTTTTATAAAAAGATAAAGTGATGGACTGGTCATCAGGATATTTTTGTAAACAAATAATTCTTTTAGAAATTGTACAATATTTTAATACATCAAATCGAAAAATGAATAAAAAAATATGTCAACATTAATGCCAACATAACTAATATCATCATTATTAATAAAATATATTAAGCATTATTCTTCTGCATCCTACCAAACGATCCCTAAATACATCTTAATCTTCAACGAAAGCTGGGCCGTGAAATATCGTGTGCTAGTATTATATCCTCGCGAGGTCACATTTCGAAAATATACTGGACCTTTCTTTCTTGAAATGGAAAATAAAATGCTTCTAAAATTTATCAGCTCATGTTATCAGAAAACCAGTAAGTTTTTTGAGAAAAAGTTATACATATACTAGGTTTGTTCTACGAATAAATATCTCTGTTTTAAAGTACTGATCTCAAATGATAATGAAATTTTCAGAAATGAATGTGACCTTATCGTGATGCGCAAACATCTTCCATATCTCAAGAGAAATGTATACTCGTTACTTACGTTTCAATTTAGATGATATATTTCGACTTGACACAAAGTTTAAGAAAGGAAAGAAAAATTTTGAAATAAGTGGTCCTAATAATTTAAGGGGTAAATCTTTGTGAGATTATAATATTTTTGTGGCTATAAAATCTTATAATTAAAGGTAAAATGAGTAAAATAAAAAAATTTAAAGTCAAATTATTTTTTAATATAAAAATGTGTCATTCTTTTTAGAACGGATTAATTAATAAGAAAAATATATCATTTAAATTAAAACACAACGAGTAGAGTATATCATTTCTTGAAATTGAAGATCAGTACATTATTTTATTCC